GTGTGTGTGTGTGTGTGTGTGTGTGTGTGTGTGTGTGTGTGTGTGTGTAGGGAGGGCAAAGTTGGCCCTGGCTTTGGTGAGATAAGAAAATCAATAGCTGGTGACCGACCATCACAAAACTGGTGAGTCACCAATCACTTCCTGGGTCCCTTGCATTCCCTCAGCTCTCCAAAGGAAAACTGCTTCCATATTTTGGAGGGAAAAGAAAAGAAAATGAGGAAAGCCCACTTTTTCCCCAGGGACCTTGTTCTGGCCTGAGAACGTGGCTGAAATTATTCTAGTCACAGCAGGCTATTCAAATACAACAGAATTTCAAACCACACGGGGCCTGTTGAGACAGCCAGGCTTCCAGGATGCGTGAAAGGCGGGGGGTGGGCAGAGAAGGCCCCTATCATTCCGCTGTCCTCTTTATTACCGGCAGCTGCAATGCTAGACACATCGCAGTGTGTCTCAAAGCCAAGGCAGACTTGAGCAGGTCCGATAGCAAGCGAGGACATGAAAGCCACTGTAAGGCTCCCCTCTCCGGTGGCAACTTTAATTATTTGAACTGGAGCTCAGTGAAATAAAAAATAAAAATAAAATAAAAGCAGAATGCATTATAAGTGGCTCCCCAGTTTCCTGCCGAGAATAGCTTGTGGTGGAGAGGGAGAACCCAAAACCACAATGTTCTGTCTGTGGCAGGGCTAGGAAGTGGCCTTTAAATATTCATGCCCATGTGTAACTGTGCAGAGAGGGAGGAGGCAGGGCCTTCAGCAGCACTGGCTGGCCAAGGAGAAGGCGGTGATGGCTGTAGGCAGCTAGGCGGGGGAGGAGGTGGGAGCCGGTGTGCTTCTGAAACGCCTTGGAGCTGCGTTGGGCACAAGGTGCACCCTTGCTATGTCTCCATTATCGGTGGGTGTCTGGTTCTACGTGCTTTCCAGACCCTCTGTCTCCTCCACCTGTGATACCATGTCACCGCTTTGGGCCCCTCTTCTGACTCACCCTTCTAAAAGGCAAGTGATAAGACACTATTCGGGGCCACAGGTAGTGGGGGAATCTCTTTGTATGGTCTCGGAATGAATTTTAGGCAGGATTGGCAAGCACTGCTATAGCAAATAAACCTCAGGTTTTGATGTGGAGCCGAATCTCCCAGGGTGGGATCTGACAAGGCCAGGTTCCTGGGTCCACTTAGGGCTGTCATTCATGAGGTCCAGGATAGGGGCCAAGAGTCCGACTTAGCACATTTTCCTGGGAACTGCAGGTGGAGAAACACAGACTTACTAGTTGACTCATTCCTAGGTTATAAAGGAAATTCATTCAAGACAGCAGTTCTGTGGGAATCCGCTGATGTTTGTGGGGTTTCTTGAATGAGCGTTTTAAGATATTCTGCAACACATTTACTTCCTGAAGACCAGCACTGGCCTGGGTATCGAGAAGGTGATCCGTGAAGGCACCAGCCCTGCAGCTCTGGTTGGCTGGCTCTAAGTCCCCATGGGCCCAACGCTATGGAGGTCAGGAACCTCTGCGTGTGGCACCCACCTTCCTGTCCAGCCAACTGGGGTGCCTTTAGGGTTGGTGAAGTTCAAAGGCCCCATGGTAATCTCACATTCTTCCGCAGCAATACAACAACCATTTTCCTACCACCAGGGTTCAGCCAACCAGGGAAAATGAATCAAGTTCCTGCCTTCTGCATCTAGGATTTGAATAAAATAAATAGTGGGGCTTACAAACTTGGAAACATATATTTAGGTTACTTTGTTGGACAAAAATATTGCGCCCAATACTGGGAGGTCGAAGACCCATCAATCCGCATTAGATGAACGATGTGAAAACCTGAATGTGAAATGACGTGAACGTAAACATACCTACACGTGAATAATGTGAATGGCGGATGGACTCACTCCCTCCCCTTCCTTACGTCTGCTCAGCCAAGTTCTGGAAAAGGGCAGGAGACAGCAGAAATAGCCTAGAGCAAAGTTGACTGAGGGGAAAATAAAGCAGCCTAGTAAAAGAAAACACCTGTTTCAGCTATTGATCAACTCAGAGGTTATTAAGGAAATGATGGAGTATTAGAAAAATATTGCTTTTACCTTGACATTTCTTTTTCTGAGCTTAAGCTCATATTAAATCTAGTGAAGAATAAATTTAAGGACCAAACGCTCCTAAGGATCCCCCTGCCCTCTCAGGTGGGCCAGCCACCTGTCCTCATTGAGATTTCTGCTTAAGAAACCTTCCTTTCTAGGTAGCAGCTCTGAGGCACCCGAGACATACCAACCATGACTGTAACTCCACCATCTGCGTCAGATAGCGAGGTTTTGCAAATACAATTTAAGTTAATTAATCCCTTTATTTCTGCTCAGACTTCTTCCAAAAAGAATTTAAGGTGGCACAGAGAGAGACATAAAATGGAGTCAGATAACATAAGCCAGAAGAAGAGAGTGAGGAAGATGAGGCAGATGTCGAGTTAGAGTTATGGAATCAAATCAGGAGCACGGTGGCTACCCACCGCACGAGGTGAAGTTCTATTTGCTTACTAAGGAGAAGCCCCAGCTTTAACTTGAACAACCCTCTAATTAAAAAACCACTGAGGTGCCTGTCCTCTGTTTCCCTCCTCCCTGGTGTTTCTGCCTGCTAGGGAGGGGAAGTCCAGCTGCCCAGTTTCACAGTGTCCACTGCTTGAAAGGAAACACATTTATCTCTGAAACAAAAACAGGTAGGAGTTTCTTCTGTGACTTTCCAGAAAGGACCAGCTAAATCAAAGCCACGCGTTGCTGTCCCACCGTCTCCCATGTGTGGACACAGGGGCCCTGCGGAGCCCCAATAAAGCCTGAAGCATGGCCTACCCTTTGAGGCCTTAGAGTCTGCTTTTTGGCTGACGTTTTCTTCTCTCTGAGTGTTTATGCGGGGCGCTAACTACATGACGGATACTCTTCTAAACCCTTCGCATGTATCAGTCTGTTTAAAACACCACTTTGGGGCGGGCACGGTTACCATCTCCAGCTTGCAGGTGAGGAAACTGAGTTCCTGTGATGCTCAAACAGCAGTGAGAGGTGAAACATGTCTCACACTCGGCCATTTTTTCTGGAGCCCGTGAGCTGCAGCACTGTGCCAGGGAAGGGGTGGGGTGGGGTTTAAGTACAACTCTTGGCCCCTAGAGAATCTGACCACACGTGACAGAAGACGCTGCCTGACCGAAGAGATAGGAGCTTCCGGAACCACTCGGGTAAGTGGCTTCGGAGTCCTCACAGAATGCCACTGATGTCTTAGTACAGTTTATGCAAATCAAATTTCTGATGCTTTATAATGATTGCGATGTATTACAAGAGCCTGATATTTAAAAAAACAGGATCTCGCAGCAAGTCTTTTGTGAGTTGTTGCTACCCTCTCTGCTTTGCCTCAGGAAACATTTTCTAGGTTTGCTGAACTTAAAGTCCCACAGGAAATAGGCCAGTGGGCTGAGCAAGGGTTCTGAAAGAAAGAGTCTGTGTGTGTGGGAGACTTTACCGTGCTGGCGGACGGGGCCTGCCCGAAGCATGGCAGAATGACCTTCTTGCTGCCCTACCATCCAGCCTCCTTGTGGAGTCCGTCTGGGTGCACATGGAAGCGAGGGCCGAGAAGGAAGTCAGGGAGGGGGAGGAACACTGAGACTTGCCTCGCATGGGGAGTTCTTCATCGGAGCAGGAAACGTCGCACTGGTCACTGTAGCGCTTTCAGGACCGGGGACATCCGTGGTGCTGAGCGACAGGGCATGGTCTGGGGGAGAGAGGTAAAAAGTTAGGAACACACCATTTTTTTTTCTCATTGAGTTTACTGGTGCTTTTTTAAAGTATGCAGTACAGTTACATTTATCGTCGGGATCTTGTACCTTTACATGACAGGTCTTGCTTCTCATTTTTTCCCCATTCCCCTGCCCTCCCTTCACCCCTTCTCCCCTCCCCTATTTACAAAGACTTTGTTTCCATTTTTTCCTTTTCTCATATTTTTTCTTTTCCCTTGTTTCCTTTCCCCTACCCTTCCCACTCCCCCTACACCTTTAGCCCTTTTCTTCCTATTTCACATTGTCAGGTATACAATTTGGATCTTAGTTACACTTTTAGTTTTTCACACCAGAGAAACTATTCGGTATTTACACATGTGTGTCTTATTTATTTCACTGAAGAGTAAGGCCTCAATGTGCGTCCATTTTCCTATGAATGACTAGTTTCTCATGCTTCATGGCTGAGTAGTACTCCATTTTATAGAAAAGCCACATCTGCTTTATCCAGTCTCCAGCTGATGAGCAATTGGGCTGTAGGAACACACCATTTCTGGGAAGCAGGAGGGCCAGGAGTACAAAGTTGGTGGCCTCTACACAGTTATTATCCAGACAAGGAGTATCTTTGAGCGCACTGGTTCCTAGCCACTGTGGAAAAGAAGTCTACTTGTCACTGTCAACAAACCCTGACTCAGGAAAAGACTTGAATTCCAACTGCCTATGAGGACATGGCAACACGCATTGGGTTACTAAATCCCCCATCTCCCAGGCTTAGCCGAGGAGTAGTCAGAAGTGCCCTCAACTCCCCGGCCCCACCCTTCGCATGGTTGGTCACGGAGGCTGCAACTGACCTCCACAGGTCTCTGTGACCTTCCCTGTCTTCTCCCTGCTCTGGAGCCCAAGTTAGCTGGTGTCCCATATTCCTCCCAGGGAGACTCATTTTTTATGTTTTCTCTCATTTCTTTCCCCCCAGCACTACTTGGTCTGAAAAGCTGGGAGACTATGAACTTCCAACCCCACGTAGCAGCAGTAAGAAACATTTCTAAACCTCCAGAAACTGCAGAGCATTAGAGCTGGTCAGTGCTGTGCGGGTAGGAGCCTTAGCAAGACCTTAACTCTTTAGGGTAGTTAGGACCCCAAGAATGACTCTAGCCTTTCGTTTTCACCTTTCTTCATCTCTTGATAAAGTCTGCTGCTGAGTTGCTACAAAGCAACAGGTTCTGGTGGGTCCAGGGCAGAGTTACCCACAGGCCAGAGATCTTAGGAAGCACAAAGTAGAGTCAAGGAGCTGGGGTTCCAGGGAAAGAAAAGCCATCATGAGGGTGTGTGAGTTACAACAGTTGCATTTTGATATTTGAAGCCCTGCCATGCTGGGACAAGGGTATTTTAGACTGTAAGAGGACAAATCATGATCCATGAGTAGAATTCATGGAGAAGTGGAGCTTGCCTTCAGGCATGGAAAATTGGTCCATGATTCAGAGTCATTAAACAAGGGAATGGGTTATTCTGGGAGGCAGCCAGAGCCTTGCCACCAGTGGCACCCAAAAGGCTGGAGAATTATTTCCTGTGGGTGCTGTAAGGGGAATCACCAAACTGAGCAGAGAGGCGTGAAGAGCACACCTGGCTTTGAGCAATCGCTGCTCCTGCAGGCCAGGTGCTGAGGATGACGCCATGTGGTAAGGAGGCTGGGGGGAGGAGTAGGAGCTCCTGGGCCCTCCTCATCTGATGAGGGGCTCTGTGGAACCCTCCTACAGCTGTGGTGACTCAGCCTTCTCTCTGTGGGCCACTGCGGATGTCCTGGACCAAAACCAACTCCTTCCCAGTTGATCTGGATGGTGTCTTCTCACACACTTTTATTATGACTGCTATTACTTCTTAAAATAACCCATAGGGTGGATTAATCTTGACTCGGGAAGGAAGGGGATTTTGGTAAGCAGGTCTCCAGTTCCAGCAAGAGGGGGAGATTGTGAGGAATGGGAAGAGAGAGACTCCTCTCCCACCAACCAGGGCCTGCCCAAGCCTAGCCACTGGGTACAATCCGAGGCTGGCCGTGGCTGAATGGTCTTGCTTCTCTAGCAGGCTGACTTTGGGAGCTGTGCTGGCCTCAAAGACTCTGACACAACACCCCACATAGGCTGCAGCTGGAATATGAAGTCTGCCTATTCAGGCGTGGGTGCTCAGCTCTTGGGAATAGGACACACTAGAATTCTCTGGCAGTCAAGCAACGGTTGTGGGGAGGGTGGGCTCCAGTGAGAGGAAGGCAGGAGCCGTCAGTCAAAGCCATTCTAGGTAGGGCAGTGATGGCAAACCTTTTCTAGGTTTCAATGAGATAAACAACCCACTGTGGCACAAGTGTCATAGGTTTACCACCACTGGGCTAGGGGCCTGGCTAAGGAGGCAATGAACCAGATGTGGGCCAGTGTTCCCTTGGCATAGCTGGGCAGATGACACAAGGCCTCTGTGTGCTTTAGTTTCCCCAGTCATAACAGGGATTGTGGCTTTCCCTGCCTCTCAGTGAATTATGTAGCTGGCAACATGATAGAATCTTACTTATAGCACGGATTATTATTATTGTTAATTCTTCCTCAAAGTTCTCATTTGAAGTAACAAAAGTTGACACTGAGCTTGACCAGATTTACTCCTTCAAAAGTCCAAGAGGGAAGAAGGAGAGGATTATATGTGAATACCCTAGGTAAACTTTGGGCAAGCACCCTGCGGGGCTGGGACTTATGTTCATGTGGACATCAGGATGGCATCAGGGAGAAGGGAAGAGGGTGGTACCTTGGTGGTCCTGGGACCGGGCATCCTTCAGGGTCCTGACCTGCCACCAGGGCACGTGGGGTGAGAGGGTGCCTTGCATCCAGCCGCAGAAACCATCCTCAAAGTTACAGTAAAAACCAGCAGGAAACTGACCTGTGGAGAGAACAGAGTGATACAGTTGTTGCCAGGACTGCTGAAAGCAAAACATGTGAACACCAAGCCAAATTAGCCAGGCATAAGCAAATTATCCTCATTAGTGACAGCTCCCCAGTCAGAATGTTTGATGTCTGGTGATACTGATTGGGATGAAGAGAAGCCCTCAAATCCTAGCTTGTGCAATGCTGCTTTACAATTTTCTGATTATCAGAAAATAAAATAGAAACAATGATAACGACTGCACACAGCACATGCAAACCCAGTTTTATATATGACAGAACAGAGGCGCACAAATGTTACGCATCATGAAAAGGTCAGATAGCTAACAGGTTAGCCAGCTGGGACTTGAACCCACATTATCCGCTTCTCAATTCTGTGCTCTTAACACCAAGTCACCATGAATGTGACCCCAGGAGAAAGCAATGTACAGCTTGCTAGAGTCCATTTCCAATGGCCCACAGCAGAACAGGAGCGTAGCAGCAGCAGAGGTAGTGTCAGCAGGGCAGTGGTCCGGGTCTCTCCAAGTGCCCAGTCTGCAGACACACCTTTGTCAAGGCCTTCCCTTTGCTCTGCTTTACTTCCCTTGCACTTAAGTGAAGCCATATGACTGGTTCTGGACAATGGAACGGGAGTAGAAGTGTGTGTCTAATCAGGATCGAGGCTTTGAAAAGTCCTGTGTAAGTCTCCAGTCTCTCTTTTCCCTTGCCTTCGTGTGACAGAGAGTTCCTTGGTCCTTGTTCCTGAGGGTGCTGCTGCTGCTGAAGGTGGGGCCTCTGCAGCCTGCAGGGGCTCCTCTCACTCCAGCCCTTGCAGGACAGGTCACATAAATGAGACCCTAAGCCACTGCAGTCTGGCAATGTCTCATCATTGTAGCAAAACCTGGCTGATCTTGCTCAAACGGTCCCCATCTCTGCGGCCCCTGCATCACCTGCTGGCTCTGCAGAAAGGGCCCACAATCCTTTCCTCCGTGTTAGAGTGACCTCAGGTCTGACTGAAGAGAACACAGTCTGTTCCCTAGACCATATATTTCCCAGCTGCCCACAGGGGGATGGGGAAAAAAGAAGAGGGCAAAAGAAGTTCACTCCTCTGGCTTCCTCTGAGAATTGCTCAGGGAGAGGTGCCCAGCAGTGGGCCACCTCGGCAGCTCCACACAGCCGGGAAGGGGTTCTCTGGCTGAGACTCAGCTCTCCACGCCCTTCCTCTGTCTCAGCCTTCTCGGCAGGCTGACAAAGGCGGCCCTAACGCTTCCTGGCTGTGACAGCACCTTAGTGAATTATTACTCATTTCCCCTCGATTCTCTGTACATTTCACACTGAGGCAGAATTATAAATTAAAACAGGCCGTCACTGACTTTGAACATCTCTTCCATTTATACCCCCCTGAAGAAATCATTTTCCCCCAAGCCCCGCATGTTCCTCTGATTAAAAATCCAAAAGCTGAGATCTTTCTGTTTTACTTTTACTTCCCCCTCAAGGGATCCCACATTCACTTCTTTTGCAGAAACAAACTGGTATCTGGAAGTGACCTTCCACGGAGTGCCCTCCACAGTCATGCTTTTAAAAACCAAGGGCCACGGTGGATGATTCCAGCAGGTGCTGGGCTGGGAGGAGAAGGGGCTGGGGGCCGTATGGCATGTTGCTCCCCAGCCACCCTTCCAGACCGGGAAAGGAGAGATGACCCAGACTGACGGGGTCTGGAACCACAGCCAGGGTCCATCTCTCACCGTTTCCTGCTGTGTGGCCTCGGGGTCATGGTAGCATCTACTTGCCAGGTTTGGTTTTAGGACAAAATAAGGGAGACAGTGTGGAAACGTCTCATAACTAGCCAGAGTTGTACACATACGAAGTGGTAGCAGTGGTGTTAATTATCATTCACACTTGAGTTAGGGGAACTGTCAGGCTCGGTGTTCAAACAGCCAAACAGCGAACACCACCTTGGCAAGGGGCAGAGACAGATCCCGTGGCCGCCTCTCCACAAAGGTCTCATGGTGGTGACTCACGCAGTATTTCAGGTTGTGCTTTCCCAGGAACAGGAGTGAGGAAAGCCATCACATTCACCTGTTGTGGGACGCCATACTGGTCCTGGCTGGCACGGGATCCAGGGTGAGCTGGGAACGGAAGTCCTATTTCTTTAGGGTTGATTGAATAAAGGGAGAGCAGGCAGGCAAAACAGCAAGGCAGATCAATAGGCAATTTACGTGACAATTAAAGCTTGAAGAGAGAATGGGAGCTGAGGTCCTCCCTGACTGGCACAGGTAGGATCCTGGGAAATCATCCGTAAGGCAATTGCCGAGCACAAGGTTGGCTCTCCAGTTTGGTCTCATGGCCTCAACTTATCCTTTGAGTTCCCTCGTCCCTTCTCATTCACTCCAAGCACCTGCTAAGAGTTTGGAACACCGTAGGACTTCAATATTTATTTGCTGAACAAAACAAGGGCAGGTTCAAGTTCTTAACCCATTGTCACTCAAAATGGAGTCCAGGGCCCAAGTGTGTCCGCAGCAACTGTGGACCTAGTACAGGTCGGGAGCCTCTGCAGAATCTTCATTTTGAACATGCTCTCTAGGCACTTCCTGGGAGCCTTCAGGTTTAGGAGCGCTTCTCCCACCGGCCCCCTTCCTGGGCTGCAGCCAGGTGGCTCATGGGCTGGATGGCAAATCCGGCTCTGTGAAGGTCGATCAGTCCTGCCATACTTGGCAATTATGATGTCTGATTCCACTCTGAGAGAGACAAAGTGGTGGAGTCACAGAGATACGACCTCAGCCACAGCCACAGGAGCTGCCAAGTATACATTCCAGGCCAAATGACAGTACTTCTTTTCCTCCCCTTGTGACAACTCTGCTAACATTTTGATAAATACGGGTTATACATTTCCTTGAAAATACGATGGAGTCATGGGAAAAATGCTGTAAGAAATACATCAAAATATTATGGTTATCTCTGAATGTGTGAGAGGGAGGATTATGGGCAATAGTTATTTTCTTCTGTGCATTTCTGTAGATTTTCCAGGTATTTTACAACTGGTGCGTTTTATTTTACAGTAAATAAATACATGTTTTAAAAATGTTTTTTGCCTCGTAGGAAGAGTATCCCATGTCCAGGGAGGGGAAATAATGTGTCTGCCCTAGCCAGGAGTCAGTGGGAGCCCTGGGACTGAAGTGGGGAGACCTGGCCCCTTTGGGGGGGTGCATGCCATTGAGGCCAGTGGTCAGGATGTTGTCAATGGGACACAGCCTCTGGGATGTCTCCTGGTTTGGCAGTGTTTTTAATTGTAAATGTGGGAGTGCTGACAGGTATTACGTTACAGAAGAGGAGAAGGGAGGAGTCCCACTTGCTGAGCGGACTCCTCTCTCCTTCCCCCACAGAAAGGTAGAGCTGAGGCCTATTCTTGTGTGGCTCTGCCTGACCCCTTCCTCCTGGGTGAGTCTGTAGCCAGGGTTAGCGCTTAGCACAGTCAAAGCTGGAGACTCATACAATGGATGAGTGTGGCCTGCAGTGGATGGGAATGTGGACTTTAAAGCCACACTGAGTCCGAATCGTTGCTTAAGCTGCCGGGAAAGAACAACTGTGGATCGACGGCGGATCGAACTCTCTCTGTCCTTTTCTAGGAGATGGGGATGGTAGCATCTTGTCTCTGAGGTGGTGAAATAACACCTGATGAGGGTTTGGGGCAGCACCTGCACACAATAAGGGCTCAGTGAATGTTAGCCAGTATTGTTGCTGCTGTTGTCCTCATGGGGATGGTTTCCAGAATCAACAGTATAACAAGGAAGGCAGCAAAAAAAGCCAGAAAGAATCGGCCACTCAGACAAGGAAGAAAAACATGTACTGAGAGTTCTGCCAACAGCAGAATAAGAAAAAGATCAGACTAACTCTCCTCCTGGATTGAACTCTCCCTGCTAGCAAGTGATTTCTGCAGCAAAGTGAGGGTGTTCTCCAGGGTGGAGCTGTCATTCTGAGGTCTGGGCTGAGCACCTTGTCAGCCAGTGGCTGAAAAGGCCACTGGTCCCTAGGCATCTGCCCTCAGTACCCAAGACAGGCGGCCCTGAAACTTGGGGCTGGCTCTGGAAATCCATAATGGCAAGACCCACGGTAATAGGAAAATACCCTTGATCCACAGTAATGGCTGGATTCCAAAAGGCTCAGTACTCTAATCACAGCTCTGTCCTAGACACGCTGTGTGACCCTGAACAAATCAATTACCTTCTCTGTGCCTTCATTTTCCCAACTGTAAATCAGGGCATAGCCCATCTGACCTGTGTCCCGGCTGGGAAGTGGGTATCAAAAGACTTTTAAAAGGCAGTTACAAAATCATACAGCTTAGAGGCACTGCTGAAAATACTGCAGATACAAATAACTAGAGAGACACATACATAGGCCACTGCCCCGAGCACTGTGGGCTAGCTCACCTGCATTTCTGGCCCTGTGCATGATGAGCATTCTGTGAGAAAGGCCAGGAGTAGAATAATGTGAGACAAGTGCTTGTCTGCAGTTCTTCCCTGAGATTTTTCTTTAAAAACATGCCATAACTCCATTATAATTGGAAGGCTCCGCTTGAAAACCACTTCAAAAAAATGAGGTTTTTAAAATTGAAAAATGGATGTCCTTATTGGTTTGTTTAAATGAGAATAAATAAAGACCCCCAAGGGGTCCAGATGACTTGGAGGACACTGTCAAATTTTTATTTTATAAAATTGCTCGCAGGCCAGGGTTGTCTTGGGACTGGTGTGTCGGGGAAGGGAACTGTTCACCTGGTCTGGGCCCCACAGGACTTGGCACCCCAGGCAGGACTCTGCCTCATCTTTCCTCGCTGAGGTTCCCCCACTCCATTCCGTGTATTTGTCTTGGCCTTGCAGTGATTTGAGGACAGAGACCTTGAGCTCTGTCTCTGCTCTAGGACTCAGCACATTTTCTAGCCCACTCTGCTGTTCTAGAGGTGTCTGTGCTCTAAAGTGACGACTCCCGTGGGGCTGACGCTGGGAGCACTATGTTCAAGTGTGATGGGCACTGGCTGGGGGTCTACTCGGTGTGGCCGCCAGTGTGGCTACAGCAATCTGTTTTTCTGTATGGAGCTCAAGTTTCCCAACTCATTCATGCATTTCCATTAAGAAATAATCCTTGGAATCGGGAGAGATAGTGGCCCTTGAAAGATGCCCAGGCCCAGTATGCACAGCGTGAAATAGAGACATGGGAAAGACCTCTGTAAAACAATGGATGTGTGCTTACTAGGATGGCTAAAGTGAAAAGACAGATAGTAACAAGTGCTGACAAGAGGGGACGGAACTGGCATCCCCACATACCGCAGGTGGGTATGTAATGTGGCATGGACACTCTGGAAAAAAGTGTTGACAATTTATCAATATGTTAGATGTAGAGTTACCAGATGACCCATGGGCTCTGTTCCTAGGTATATACCCAAGAGAGCTGAAAGCACAGGTTCCCAAAACACTTGTAGAAAAATGTTCGCAGCCACATTATTAATAGTAGCCAAAACCTGAAAACAATCCATATGCCAATGAACTAGTGAATGGATAGGAAAAACATGATATATCGATATAGTGAAACATTCTGCAATAAGAAGGGACGAAGCCCTGATATACGCCACAATGTGCATCAGCCTCAAAAACGATACCCTAAGAGAGAACCACAAAAGATCACCTATTACATGAGTCAGTTTGTATGGAATGCCCAGAACAGGCAAATCTACAGAAGCAGAAGATGCGTGATTGGTTAGGTCTCGTGGCAGAAAGGACAGTGAGCCATGGGGAGAGACTGGAAGGGGATCTTGTTTGGGGGGTGGTGAGAATGTTCTAACATTAGATAGTGGTAAGGGTTGTACAGTCCTATCACCATTCGGAAGAATATCAAATTGTATATTTTAAACTGAGTGAATCATATGGTAAATGAGTTCGATCTCAAAATCATTATCAAAAAGTAATAGAAGCCATTACGGCTGAGTTGGCGGTAAGGAAGAAGTAGCTGTACTGGGAAGACGGCTGGGGCTTGCTAGAAGGGATGGCTCCTGAGGCGAGTACTGAAAAGGTAGATGGGAAAGTGAGGGAGCAGGGCAGAGAGCTTCCAGTGTCCCCTTAGGGTTAAGCTCTGTCTTGCACATTTTCCCCGTGCCTTGAGGAGAACACACTTCACAGGATCTTGTTTGCTTTTAATGTGTTTGACCACAGACCATAGAGGACTGCGGTTTCCCGACCACCGGTCTTAGCTCTTTCTCTTAATACTGTGTTTCGTCAGAAGAGCAGTGACAAAGGTCAGTGGGTATCGGGATGTCTGTCCAAGCCCATGTGCCTCAGGTGATGGGGACAGGACAGGCCTACAGGCAGGGGGCAGGCTGGGGCAGGGCGGAAGCAACCCCCATCTACTCACTGCACAGCTGGCCCTCATCTTCTCCCTGGGCGCAGTCCCGGTGGAAGTCGCAGGCCTGCCCGAGCTGGAGGACTGTGCCATTCCAACAAGTGAAGGAACTCTGCAGGGCCATCTTGGAGCCTGGGGACGTTCCTAGAGAACACACAGACACATGTCCCTTATCAGTTTGGGTGGCTCCAGGCACTGGCTGGGCCTGTGGGAAGACAACAAGGGAAGCTTCCCACTGCCCTGCCATTCCCATCCCAAGGTCTGACTGAAAGCCCTGCACGTCAACCTGGCCACAGGCAAGGCCAACCTCAGCAGGCCGAGAGGGTGTCACCCCTAGTCCCCCCACCCGGCCTGCTGGGGATCTTACACTGTAGTGATGGTGAGGGGCCAAGGGGTAGAGGTCTGTTCCATGTTCCACAAACTCAAGGGGGGCCTCAAACCCATGCTTAGTATGCCAGGTGGACACAGTACAGGTGGAGTCTTGTCTGCACAATCAGCCGTATCCTCAAGATCAACAAGCATACCTGATCCAGTGTATTCCCTTACTCCTGGTGTTTGACCCCAGATTCTACTACTGGAATGACTTACAGAGTGGACTCTAGAGACACACAGCACTTCTGTTGTGAAATGCAAAGCGCACCACTGTGAGAGCTGAGCCCGGAGTCCTGGAAGACTGGCTGTGTGAGGCTGACCACGTTCCTTGTCTATCTGGTCTATCTACTCTTTCCTAACAGGAAGAATTCTGACTATATCTTTAAGCTTTGCTCCAGCTCTAAAACTCTTAAATAAGTCCTATTATCTAGGGGGAAGTGAGGACAGTTTCTAAAGCACATATTAGCAGTTGTGAGCTTCTGTATTAAGAATGATGCATTACGATAATTAGTCGGTGACCGCTCATGTCTCTGCAGGCCCCACAGGTCCAGGTGCTGGGGAGGAGCAGGCTGGCCTGTCCTTGTCTGTCCTCCTTAGTGGAAAACCTGCCTGCTTGGTGTGTCCTGCAACCCAGCTGCTGGATGGATATGAGCGGGCAGAACCCACCTGAGTCAACACTCCAAGTGTGGCTGTTTCCTCAGGAATCACCTCACCCCATCCCACCCACCTCAGCACTTAGGATGACCAAGTCTCCCAGCCTCCCTGAGTCAGACTGAGCTGATTCTGATGTGGGACACTCCAGGCTGGGTGATCTGTGATACCTAAAATTCCATGATTTTCTGGTTCATTCAAATGTTCCCAGTGACACAAAAACTAATATGAAGTCCAGCCTGTTTGCTTCTACAATTCCTCTGTCTATCTTAGAGTGCTGGGCTCCGTGAGGAAGGCAGGTAAGTCTTAACAGTGGGTCTTAGCATTTCCTAAGCAGGGAAATTGAGGTCAGAGAGGTTAAGTGACTTGTCTAAGCTTACACAGTCAGTATATGACACACAAACCAATGTTCTGGACCTTAAAGCTACCTTTTTCCATCATATGGAAGGAGGATGCTACAGGTGACCTTGTGACCCCTTTTACAGCAAGACCAGATAAGGCTCAGTTTGTCAGATTACACAGATGGCCACCTGGCAATGTCGGACTGGCCGCCAGCATGGCCAGGCAGGCTCTGTGACTCCCCAGGTCCTTCCCGGGAAGCCCTTTAACTTGTTGTCCCAGGTCACCCATGATCTGAAACCAGATTTCCTTTTTGGTCGCATCTCCCTTTGCTTCTCTCTGTGAATGCTGGGCTGCAGGGCCATGGGATGGTGGACCCCAAAACCTGCTCTCCATCCAAGGTGTAGCTCACAGTCTCTGCCTGTGACAATCGTCGTACCTTCTTGGTACTCATTTGGCTTTAGCTCTATTACCCTGGCTCTGGAATTTATGGACATATTTCCATCTTCTCTATCACAGTGAGCTTCTGGCTACCCTCTGCCCAAGCCAGGCCAGGCCAGGTCCTTAGGAGATCTCATGCCTGGCTTGAACACTGTGTCAACGTGCTGGGGTAGGATGACTAGTGGATCCCCAAATGAGCACACCCTAATCTTGGGTGTGAATATTACCTTACATAGTAAAAAGGACTTTGCTGATATGATTATGGCTCTCTAGATGGAAAGATTCTCCTGGATTACCCAGGTGAGCCCATAGGGTTCTTATCAGAGGGAGCCAGGACAGTCAAAGTAAGCTAGAGAGGAGACGATGGAAACATGAGTCTGGGGTGCTGGGAGGCTTTTAGAAGCTGAAAAAGTCAGGAAAACAGATAATCCTTAGATTCTCCAGAAGCAATCAGCCCTGCCTGATAGCATGCCTTTAGCCCAATGAAACTGATTTCAGACTTCAGCTCTCCAGGACTGTAAGAGAATAAATTTGTGTTGTTTTAAGCCATTAAGTTTGTGGCAGTTTGTTACCACAGCAATAGGAAATTAATATACCATCTAAACTCAAGTCTGGCTGAAATCACAGCCAAGTTAGCTTAGGGTCAGCTAAAGCGCAGTGTCGATTTAGATAAACTTCTCAGTTCTTTAACTTTTTGTGTGTGACTACGTTCTTGTGGTTTCCTACTCTGCTCACCTCTCCCTATTTCCTCCTTACAGAGAAGAAAAATGCCACCCCCATGCCTCAAGATAGCCTGAGACAAAGTTTCTTCCAAATACCTTATGGGTTCTAAGCGCAGAGACATGAGTAATGAAAACTCACCCTCGCTCCCACAATGTCCAGTTCCAAGTACTTTCAGATAACTCAGTCTCCCCCAGCAGAGTGACAACAAGAGAAGCACTTTCCTGAGGTGTTGACGCATGGGCTTGGCCTGGGTTCCAGGAACCATGTCCCAGCAACTGAGGGCGTGGAAGCACGATGCCTGTCGGTTCACTAAGCCTGGTAACAACAGGACTTTGGAGGAGGCAATGTGAAGCCCCTGATACTGCCTGTTTTTGCTGCCCCTCTTTGGGGCAAGGATATTGCTATGGATACAGTTCATATCCCTTGTTCCTACTCACGTAAGAGTTTCGTCCTTAAAGTCAGGTAGTAATAGAATTGAGATGGGAACTTAATCTCATGATGGTGCTTAGCAGCGAGACCTTTCGGAAGTGATTAGATTGGATTAGGTCATTAGGGTGGCACCCCTATGTCTGAATCCTGGTGGCTTTGTAAGGAAAGGGAAAGAGATTACACAGACAGCTGGATATGTATCTCTGGACACGTGTTTCTGCCGTTATATGACACAGCCAAAAGGTTTTCTCACCAGAGCCTGGGCTGTGGTATTTGGATTTCTGGCTGTGAGTTAAACAAACCATGAACTAAATAAACCTCCTTTCTTTGAAAGGAGCCTGCCTTACATATTTTGTTATAGGAATGAAAAACAGACTGCAATATTTAGGATTAAAAACTGTACTGTATCCCTAAAATGTACCAATAAACTCAATAAAATTAAAAAAAAATTTTCTTTTGGAATGCGCTTGGTGATTTCATTCACAAGGCATTTTTCCTATAGGTGATAATTAAACACCGTTAGGACTTTATTGTTGTCATTCTCAGTACTACCACAGAAAACGTAAGCAAACTCAAGCCTCCCCCCAACCTATGGGACAAATCTAAGCTGTGTCCCTTCGTGTATCTTGTTGAACACATGAGTATTTCACGCACCAGTTACTTGGCATTCCCCAAATAGGTCTTATAGTTTTTTTTTTTTTAACTTTTCTTTCATTCTAAAAACAAACCTGTCATCTAAAGTTTGGAAGCAGGTTAAAAGGAAACAAAAATAATGCCCAATCCCACCACCCAGAAGCCACCATTTTTAACTTTTCGGGTGATTTACCTTTAGTTGTTTTCTGCTTATACTTTAAAAGTGTATACAGTCATGTCATATGCAGATAGGTCTTAAAATAATTAAGGATATATCACAAGATTTTCTAAGGGCTTAAAAAATTCCCTCTAAGAGTACGTTTTTAATGGTTACAATACAGCATGATATGCACCATCATTATTTAAACATTACTCAATGATTGGGCTGCTAGTCTGTTTATAGTAACACTTTGAAGAATATCTTTGAGCATAAACCTTTGCCTACATTTCAGGTTATTTACACAGGATAGATTCCCAGAAGTGGAATTACTGAATCAAAAGGTATAAACATTTTAAGGGCCCTTGATACATATTGCCAAATTGCTTTGTAGAAGTTAATCCAATTTACCGCCTTTACCAGCTGTGTTCATACACTCACATCCTTTGTACTCCATCCTGACCAGCCCTGAGCATTATTCTACTTTCAATTTTTAACTAAAGGGACCTCCCTGCTGTTTTATTTTAAATTTTTTTGATAGTGAGGCTTAATGTTTTTTGTTTTTGTTTTTTTTTCACATGCTAACAGCCTTTTTTCCAGTGCTGTGCATGGAGCTTTAGGCCCCATGTGTGCTAGGCAAGCGCTCTACCACTGAACTATAACCCTTAAGATTCCTTCATGTTTCTATACTTCATTAATAAGGATGTGAAACCATTTATGGTATGTGTGACATATATTTGATTGTACATATTTCTAATGTATACTTTCATTATGCTTATAATGTATTTTAGTGTATAAGCATGTAAAATGTTCATGTTATCTAAGCCTAACTGTATTTTCCTTGGTGATTTCTTCTTTTTTAGTGCTTATGGAGTCTGTTCCCTGAGAGACTGGTAAGCATTAGGCAGCTCACCATTCAATGTTTTGGGGTTTCCCTTCCACTTGGAGATGTCTTCCACCAGTTAGCAACTTGGCAACAGTGACCTGGATCCTGTAACTTCCTCTGTGATGCTGTCATGGATTTTTCCTTCTCCCCCTCCATGAACAGTCTTTTTCCTTAGGCTTTTATAGCGCATCACTTCTTGCATGTAACATGGTGGGCAGCCTATCTGTGGCTGTTTGTATGCCTGTGTTTCTGACCAAATTGTGAGTGGCTTGAAGGTAGGTATCAAGTCTTAAGAGTCTACAATAGTGCCTGGTATAAAGCTCTCCCAACTGCATTATGTGCGGATTTGAACTGATCCTTCACTGAGGAAGTTATTATTATACCCTCTTCTAATCGAGAGCACAACAGCCTAGAGTGATCGCATGGCTTGCTGAGGAATTGGTGGAAACCTATATTCTTGGAGACTTTGTCCTCCATCTTTTGTGCAGGGTCTGTCTGGGGGAGTCATCCAAG